TGTGAGTCCAGGTTTGAACAGCACGTAAAACGTGCGATGTGGCAAACACAAATTTGGATGAAGTCACATGAAGCACTGCCTGACCTTGGAAGTCCTTTAGACTTTGGGTGGACAAGAACTGTGAACATGTCGCTTGTACCGAACTTCTTTGAAGGGCAATCTGCATCAGAGCTGCTTGAGAGCCTTGTGTGCCACTGTGTACGTGGTATCTGTCACACCGGATGCACATGCAGACAAAATAATTTGACATGCGTTGAATTATGTTCTCGTGGGGCTCAGGAGAAATGCACAAACAATGCTGATGGACTTGTGTGAACGCTGTGAACGACGCTGTGAACGCTGCGAACGCTGTGAACGCTGTGAAGGTATCTCGTTGAAACTGTTAAAATCTTTGTTTATACTGCGCGAAATTGTCTAACAATATAACATACCATAAAGGGTAGTAACTATAGCTACATGGATAAAGCCATGTTAGTAGTTAAGGAATTAACTTTTAACTGTCTTCGCACAGGCTTACACTGATACTTAAGTACAATATAAGTACAATACCTATTTGGATGACTTACTGTACAAGTTGTTCTTCAAAATCTATGTTTGTAAAGATTCTGTGGCCATCAAGTCATAATGACTCGCTATGAAATAATTTACAAGCAATGAAGTATGTATTGCCGCCATTTTATTTCGGAATAGCATAGAAAATTGACCGAAATTTACCTACATTCAAATGCCTGATATAAAAAACTGTCCACATCGTTTTTATTACGACATGCATTTTTGTAATCCATATGTTTCAAGCTTTCATTTGATATATAATATGACTATACCTCTTCCTGGGGCAAAATGATCATCACTTTCCGGTCTCGTTTCCTGCTCTAATACACATCATGACTAATTGGGCCGGAATATACACATCATGACCAATTGGGCCGGAATATACACATCATGACCAAATGGGACGGAATATACACATCAAGACCAAACGGGCCGGAATATACACATCAAGACCAAATGGGCCGGAATATACACACCATGACCAAATGGCCGGAATATACACATGACCAAATGGGCCGGAATATACACATCATGACCAAATGGGCCGGAAAAAACACATCATGACCAAATGGCCGGAATATACACATCATGACTAATTGGGCCGGAATATACACATCATGACCAATTGGGCCGGAATATACACATAATGACCAAATGGGACGGAATATACTCATCATGACCAATTTGGTCGGAATACACACATCATGACCAAATGGGCCGGAATATACACATCATGACTAATTGGACCGCAATATACACATCATGACCAAATGGACCGGAATAGAGGTGACAGTTCAGTTCATCCTCTGTGGCTAAACACAACGTTAGGCGTGAGGCGTGAGCTGCAGTCCATCCTGTGCCATGACATACACTGTCATCCTCTGTGGTCTGGGTACACTACATGAGGTGCAGTTAGCATGTCAAGGCTCAACTTACTTACAGTTAATGAGTGTTAATGAGTAAATTGAGTTGCCTGCCACGACCTCCGCCGACTATTGCTGCACCAAGTTATATAGTATACTGGTGAGAGGCACTGAAACACCAAGAAAATTAGAGCAAGAAACACATTCTTATGCATTCATTGAATCATTGATTTGTATTGCTAATGAACAGATATGCATACTTATAATGCGAGAAGTATGATGCAAGAAGTATTAATTTACCAAACTTGGTCCAGATGAAAAAACATGTTTACACTACAAGATTAACATGCAAACCCCTTTGAAAAAGCAGGCAAAGTTGGGCTGGGAGAGAAGGGATAAATAATAAGTTGCCGATGAGATATGCGTTTGGCTGCTTGCTGGTGTTCGCGGAAAGAGGCTTGATGCAGCCCAGCCACGTGCGTCACGTGATCGGTTTAAGATTACCAACGCACACTGGTCTAAGAGAAAACAATTCAAATCCGTCAAAAATCGGAAAGGTCAATTTATCATACTGTATTATAAGAGAAAACACACAAAGTCATATTGTAAAGAGTTTCTCCCATAACAGGGCTTGATCTTCAATCGCCAGCAGTGGTTTATTCGCAGTGGTTTATTTTTTTCAGCCAATCTGATTGACTGGCTGAGAGTGGAGTGTTGTGTCATCGTGTTTTGATTGGCTGGCTAAAAATAATTGACGGCACTCTTTTCGGATCGGGGATACCCGAGGTCGCCTAGTACAGGAAATCCCCAGCTGGCAAAACATTACCGTAGTGACAATGTTTCCATTGCCGAAAGTTGGTGACCGAGAGAAAGTTTGTGGGGGAAGAAGGGGTGTGATATGTGGAGATATATCAGAGAATTTCGGCTTCCCAATGTACCAGATTCAGTTGCAGAATGAGAAGACGGTAACCGAAGTGAGATACCGCATCGATATAAACACTCAGATAATTTGGATCTAGAGCAATACTCAATTTTAACATCAATCAGGAAAACGATCAATCTTTGCCGGACGGACCGTACATCTCACGACCAAGATGTTTTGCAACCACAGCAGTTGTTTCCCCTTTCAACACGTGGAGTTTACCCAGATCAATATAATTAATGTATTTTGGCCTATAATTATTTGGTATTTTTTAAACATGAAGACTTCAATATCTAAACGAACGTACTATCTCAGGACAATTAAGAAACTCATTATGAAAAAACAACATTACCCCGGTTAAACTTGAATTCATAAGTCACACCTAAATCTAAATAAACTCAAGAAAGTAAGATATGTATTTTTATCATATATCATATCTCGGCAGGATAAAGCCAACGGATAAAAACGATATCCGTTGGGGTCATATGCGGATAGAGATGCAAATATCGAAGGTCAAGTAGGGACTACTTTCACTGTTTATAAACAAACATAGCGTCGCCCTTGTCATTCGGGGATCGAGTCAGAATTAACCATCGGCAATCTGGATAAACTACAGGGATAATTGCTATCATTATCAAAAGAACAGTCTAATATACTGAAAATCTGTGTCTAACTGTGACGAAGCTAAGGCATTTTATAAGTTTTGTCAACTTTGGAGATATAAATTTCGAAACAATTTTGCGAGGGCACGAGGCCTAGCAAAGCGGGATCAGTAGCCATATCTGTGCTTGAAACCTCCTCCACAAATTAAAATAGTTGGATTTGGCGGAAATATGTTTGAATTGTTACCTTGTTTCGTTTTGTCGCTGTGTGTACATCTGACTACACTTCTTATTGTAATGACAGGACAGATCGACTGTCAACAACTTCTGACCGTGGCCGTGACGTCTCATAGACTAGGGTTAGAGTAGCTTCCCTTTGACAAAGGGCAGTTACTCTAGCGGACAGACCGATGGATTGCCGCGAAAGGCAATTAAAAACAATTGTTGTTTTGCGTATATGTTGCTTCGCCACTGTATAAGAAACAGATTTCAGTTGGAACTATATTTGCTACTGTCACTGTCCGACTGACACATCACTTACCCTGTGACGTAATAAATATTAATGAGCGCATTCCAGGAAAACTCGCAATGTTTCGGTAATGTTTATGAGAGAGGGAAAGCGATTTTGAAGCACAGAATTAAAGAATGACATTATATGCTAAAGAGGTTATCACGCTTGTGTGTTTGGGGATGGTAAATATCCTGTATTAGGGATTAAACACTATGTATTTTGCTCGCCAAGGCTCGCTAAATACAATGTTTATTCCTAATGCAGGATATTTACCATCCCCAAACACACTCGTGTGATAACCTCTATATATTTTTTCTTAACTATTTTGATTTATTATAGGGAGCAGCCAAAATGATGAAGATAAAGAAGGTGGGCACCAATAAACCTTATTAGGTATTTTTTTCAAAAGCAATGATGTATTCTTTTTTTTCAACAATGATGTACATTTATGCATCTTAAAATATATTTTGTATTTTAGATAGGATGAAATAATCTCAAAAATAATTTCATTTTATTAGTTTTAGGCAGAAACTCAATATCACAGTTAATTATTTTCAGAATTTACAGACAATACAGAGTATTAAGACATGTAGAATTAGGTTTGTCTCAAGTATATTCTTTAAACCAAAGATTTATTATTTACCATGATTACTGAAAAAACCCACTTCTTTAGAAATGTACTTGTTATATTTTCATAGCAGATAAAGAGCCCCAATATGCATAGCTAGCTTAATTTTAATGATAATTATTTAGCATTTCTTGGGATGATAAACTGGACATATGACAAAATAAGAAATGTATTTATATTTATTATTCTCCTATTACAAGGTTTACAGTGGGTTATTTTATTCACATAATCTAATTGGCTGCCTGGGAGTGGAAAGTTGTGTCGCTATTTTAATCAGAGACCTTAAATTATTCTAATGTGTAAATTTTCAGAACATGGTAAGCAAAGAAAAACTCAAATTTATGGGTGATGAAGAAATGACCAACAAGAGGTCCTTTTATAACATTTTACCATAAACCTCATTTCTTTACATTAGCTATGGGTAATTTTAATTTTAATACTTTTTGCCAAAACAAATCACATATAAACAGGTCACTAAAATACATATTTATAATTATGTCTTGTTTTCATGAAGATAAAAAGAATTTTTAAGAAAATATTAATTTTAAATTACCTATTATCAGTAAGTCTTAACTTCTAATCTGATAAAATAACAAAAGAATAAAGTTTGGAGGTAACTGTTGCAGTAAAATAACAATGTAAAATTACAAGGGTATTAAAATGCAAATATTTGTAGAACTACTGAAATGATAATTTATTGTTTACATACTATCCTATGTATTTATTTTTCACACACACACAAAATATTGTGCTTGTCAAATTCAAATTGTTTCTTGTCATTCACAAATATGGGGAAATTAGATGACTCATTTTGTAACATTTGGTGTCATGATGTTAAATATATATATATAATAAAAACACATGGGCTCACCATGTTCAGGGACAAAAAAGAAGAAGAAAAGATGACATAAAATATTCATCATTTTACACATTAAATTATTCACTGTAAAACTAGTTTTAAAGACGAAAATTCGTCCAAAAATATTACAATCCATTGATGGATTTGAGAAGATGTAATCAGCTGATCAGTTGCCTGAGTTGGTATTTTTAGAATCTTGCCTGATCAATCCTGCTGACAGTTCCTTTGGGCACTTGTTTTTCGTTAACAATAGTTCACAATATATAACACAATATTTAATTTCCTCTTAATTGGCTTTATAACATTTGTTTCTAGCGAAGAAATAAACGAATAACGTATTTACATACACTAAAAAGGTGGGCCTATTTAGTGTTGCGCATTGAAAATGATAGTCACGGCGAGACGAATGCAAATAAAGTTATGGACCGAGAAATCCAAAACCATTAACAAATATCAAATCACATTACTAATTCTCAAAACGTTACTCACAACAGCTTTTAATCGTTAACAAAAAACATAACAAATCGCTTGCCTGTCACGGAAAATTCGTGTGAGTTGTCTTCGCTAGATCCTTTTTACCTGTTTATGGTACAGTTGTCTTACTGAGCATATTCGAAAACGAGGCTGGGGGGAATCCCGAGTGGTTACTTAACACGGGAAATTTTCAACTACGAGCTCGACTTTTTATGGCGTATTGTTATGGGTTACACTCGTGATTAATCTGCCACAATTAGAACTCGGCAAAGCCTCGTTCTAATCGTGACAGATTAATCACTCGTTTGTAGATTTTTCGGTATCAACCGAACACAGTGGTTAATCCTCTATGTAACGCCACTGTGAATACTGTTTCATTGTGTATCACGGCGTGTCAGTGTGACGTTGGAGGAAAGCTGAAGTGATGTAGGTCTTGGACGTTTACCACTTTGGTGAAATCCACGGGCACGGGTATAGTGCGGAGCAGAGACACCAAGAAACATCGGGGCAAATCGGGGATTCGAACCCACAATCGTAGGTTCCAGGTGAGTGTACCATATTGTAATGGGGTTAATTCAGAATTGTAGTGAAATATTTCACACCTACAGCTATACTGAACATAAAGTAATTTGTCGGTTCATCTATAGAGGTGGGTGTGTATGCTGGTAATAATGACAGGCGGATGTAACGAACAAGCAGTTAGAGAGGTCTCCATATGCATTCAGTCCCTATGTCTTGATAAATTCCTTGATCTTCCCATCTCCAGTCACAAATATGGAGCCATGTTTGTCTGACCAGAGACCTACTGGAGAGTGTACACCATCCTGTGACGTGAGAACATCCCTGACATACTCCCCCGACGCTGTCAGCTGTATCACCTTGTTGGTGTTCCTGTCTACAAGCAGGATGTCTGCTGTGCCTGTAGTTGAGATACCATAAGGGTAGCGGAGTGCTCTGTCTCCGGTAGGGGCGTATCTCCACACAACATCCCCCTCTGACGTCACACATGTTACAGACTTCTTCCCCATGTCAGACACGAGTATGTTGCCCTTGGTGTTGACACACATGTGGAAGGGGTAGGTAAACAGTGTCTCATTGTTGTGTGTAGCGACTGACCTCAGCACGTGTCCCCCCATGTCCAGGATATCAACACAGTTGGTAGTACCTGCTGCTAGATATGAAGGACTCAGAACAGCGAGACTGTAGTACCACTTGCGGGTTGTGATGGTTGAGAGCAGCACCAGGTCAGGGGTCACTTCTACTGTTACAATCTGACTGGAGAATGGGTCTGCAACCATCACCTGGTTCTCTTTCAACTGTGTTACACCCCATGGAGAGTTAACCAGGGGAAGTCTACTATGACATGGTTGATTGTTTCCAATGTAGAAAGATTTCACACACTTGTTGGAGTTGTCAGTGACAACACACGTCTGTATACCATTTACAAGCAGGACTGTGACGTCACGTAGATCAGGTTTCCCCACATCTCCCTCCACCCAGCCGTCAGTCGTGTCAACCATTACCGAATAAGATTTCAGGCAGGTTCCAGTCTGGTATGTGACCTCAATCTTCCCAAGATGTAGGTCATCTAGGATGTGCTGGACGTTGTCAGTGTCAGGTCTAAACCTGATTTCATCTATTCTCTGTGTGTCTGCTGTGTCTTTGTCCCTGACATCCCCCAACTCTAAAGCCCCCGACTCCCAGGCCTGATACGCGTCATACAGGTCCATCTCACAGTCCGATACCAAGGCCTGGTCAATGAACTCACAATGTTGTCTGTACATCTGCATCTCAATATCTTCAAGCTTTATATCTGCATCAATCTGTGACAGGTGTGTATCTGTGTTTGCATCCAATTCATCTAACAGCTTCTTTTCCTTGTGCTTGATGTTTTCGACGAGTCTGTTTGCAGTAGATGTGATGTGTTCTATTACGGACGCTTTATTGTCTTTTATTTCACTTACTCTTGATTTTTGTTTTTCTATCTTTTTGCTTTTACCAAAAAGCTTTTTCTTAAGACCATTGACTTTATGAGATAACCCAAGCTTTATCCTCGTCATCTGAGAGCTAATTGTGACGACAGAGTCACATTTCCTGTGGTAGACCACACAGCATGACTGACACAGTGACTTGTTGCAGTCCAGACAGAGATATTCTTCTTTCTTATCCTTGTGTTCCTGACACATGACCTTGCGTCTCTTCTTAACCTTGACCTCGCAAGACAGGTCACACAATCCATGGTCACGAGAGCCAGAGCTAACACGGTGTATTTTGGCACATCTACCACAGAGGGTCTCTTCACATTCAGGACACCAGGAAGTCCCCGGAGTTGTCTCCCCTAGTCTGTCACACAAGGAGCAGTGTTTGTTGGTGTCATCAACTGCGAATTAAATCGTCAAGAGCTTATATGTGTCCTTCACATTACATTAGCATGTAATAATATAACAAAATACATCAAACTATACTACAACAGACATCTCATTAACATGTAACATATCACAAGTAATGTGAGGAAAGGGAAGATTATTCCATTAAACTCATTACATATTCACCCCAAGCACTTACACGATAGAGATCTATCTTTCTATGTCTACAGATTATTTTATTATAACGTCCTAAGTCATAATTATTATTTCCACTAGCTTATTGTGTGAATAAACAAGACGTTGTCGCACCTGCCGTTGTTGTAGCAGAGTCCTGTGTGTCAATCAGCCCCTGTATAATGATGCTGGGTTTGATCTGCCCCGCCCACTCCTCCACTGGCCGGCTGGGGTTGGGGACCTTGGTATCTTGTCGACAGAAGGCACAGGGGATCGTCTTGGACTGAACAGCATCTGGTCTGGTTTGGATGTGTCCAGTGACACATTTCCTGCAGAATGTGTGATCACACCTCAGTGTACAGGGGTCTGTGTACAGTTCCTGGCAGATCACACAAGTGAGGAATTCTCTCACTTTCTCAATCTGTGCTGTCGCCATCTGTAAAATATGAAATATCCACACATGCAATGTGAATAGTACTTTCTAGATTTGTGTCATCATAACTGAAACATGTCTTACAATATGAATAGTTCTGTAAAGGCTCCTACTAGTCTCAACGTTCTGTCGTCTGGTGATGTTAATAAGTAGCTGAATTCCAAGCCTGCTAATGTCACCTGCCTATTGTTACTTGAGGCTGTCTCTTATCTCTCAAGTTGTGCACACATCATCGTTTTTCTTTTGCTACAGTACGACTTTGTTTAATGTGTGCTGATAGCCTCATACAAATATAATGCTAAAATACTGACATCACACAAATTAATTTTGTTTTTAAGGAAAAATGACTTCGGAGGTACTTCCCTCACATAACATATTCAGGCCTATAGCAATTTAAACAAACAATCAAGTGTGTTTATATATTCCAACCGTATGCAAGTTCCATATTTATTTTCACAGTATCAATAATGCTGATGACATGACAACATTTCGTACATGCAACTGTTGTTACTCTCTTTACATTGAGGCTACAGTATGTACAAACTAACAGATGGATGTGACAGCTATTTCCTGGTTGGATTTCATTATTTCCGTCTATGGAATAGTTCAAGTCTATTACTACATACATGAACATGCACGTGTAGAAAGACAACATATACTCGTATAAATGACCCCACAACCCACTCTTTAACAAATGTACCACGTTTGTGTAGGGCATCTGACATCCTACATATATACTGAATTTTTCGAATCATCTTCTTTCATGGAATGTCATTACATTTACTTAAAGTCCTACCATACACCAAAGTTAATTCATAATGAGTTGTTTGGGAAACACTAATTTAAGACCGAAAACAGTGTTGCTTAGCAATAATGTTTGAAAACGAAGGGGCGTGGCAATCAAGTTTGAAAGGTGATCGTGGACGGTTTGTTTAGAGAGTATGTCCAGCAGACAAAATTATAAATGACCTATGGGGAAAACGGATTATGCTTGCCTGTTAATTTTGGGTATCAGCAGTTTACCTAAGTAGCTATAAATAAATGTTTGGTAAGTGTCCGGCTACTACCGCTGGCCGGGTACATCATAATTACAATATCTATCATATTTACAGAAACTGAATAAGGAAAAGTATGATTATGCATAATTGTTATTTAATATGCATTAACAAAGTAAACAAAAGTATGTACATGTAGTCACTTTGTTGTCAACTTATTACAATACCGACGTCTACAGAAATTGTTTCTCAGCAGTGTATTTCTACTTTCGGTTTCTCTTCAGTTGAAGACATGGAGTCTTACTTGCGTGTAGACTGACAACAATCACGAATCAAAACAAACGCAAGTACACTGTTGAATACACGACGGAATACATACCCTAAACTCACAGGTGATGTTTTCAATACTACTTCATCTGTTGACAGATTCTCCGTCTTGATATTTCATGCTACCAGTTTGGCAAAACCGCGAAACTTCCCCATCCTGACACACACCGCCCTCATACATCCAAGGGAGGTAACAGCGGGCGAAACCTCAACTGACACAGTTAGGCTAGCGATACTGAAGAGAATATTCCTTCTAGGATCGAATCACTAAATATGCCGTCATACTTTTATAGCAATATTCTCTACTGTAATGAATATATTTTTTAGTAAGTGAGATAATTTGAACACGAAGCAAAACATTGTGCCTTTCAAACATATATTTGAAATAATTCTGATAAGTTAGAGTTGTCATTAATATGTATTAACATTTAGGAGATAAATATTTCGTTTTGTAAGATTTGCGTGATGTTATGCTGAATGGATGTAAGGAAATTTCATTTGAACACTCTGCCTTACGGCGTTATAAATTCACGTTCGGTACTCCAATGATGATGGTCCATTTTAAGAAAGGGATTGTCACGTGTTCAAGCCCATTTCTCAGAAAATAAACAAACAACAGGACATATCACCAATTCAATTCTTTATCACAGTTCCTCATCTTACTTGTTATTTGTAGTTATGCGTATCTATAAAATACAATTATCAAAATAAAAAAAGACGTACATACTGTTTTGCCTCTATACAAGATACAAGATAGTGTCAACTCGCCTGAAACTGAGGTGGTGACAAGAGACGTCAAACATGTGCGAGATTTTAGACATGCAGCTTAGCTGGGATGGAAAAGGTTGTTTACTGTTAGAGTGGAATGCCATATGTGAAAGAGACTAGGGAATTAGAAGAAGAATAAACCTGGAAGTTATTCACGGGAGCACTGGACAGGTGCAGGATATTTTTATCTTGGACAGGTACCAATTTACGTTCGTTAGCCAGCTGCTGCTGTCCCTAAAGAATGTTCGAATAATGTCGTTTTTGAGTCGAGCTCGAGTCAATGGAATACGACTTCAACAATTCATTGGTTTTGTGGCCGGGAATTTTGCAAATCTCGCGATTTTCAATACATGCGTTTAACAGCAAAGTGACGGCAGTTGCCCGAAGACAATGGTTTGTATACACTTTGAGACCAGCGTTGGTAGAAATTTCTTTCATCATGTTGCCAATGCCATTTACACCAACTGGCCTCGCGGTGTACCATTCGGTGTCGTCGACGTGGGTTCGTCTCTTGGGAGCCTGGTAAGAAGCACCATTGTTGGGATTGGGGAGAGACATGTAATTCTTTCATGAAATTACAGGACAGAATTGGTCAGATGTTGCATAAATGCGTTTGTTGGGCCCATTTGATTCTTTGATGTCCCCCCTGTGATTTTCAGTGACTTCGGAGTGTGTCATTTCAATAAACTCGAACCCCTGTTTATCAGTGTATACACGAAAGGAAGATGCAGTTAATTCCCTTTGGTTTTCTTTACCACGACGAGTGAAACCGAGTGTAAGGTCGAACCACACTTTACGAAGCAAGCCGGGGGGAGTTTCCGTATCCAAACTTTCACGAATTGTTTTTAAATCATTCTCGGAGATAGCAGCATGATGTGTTATCTGGTCAAGGCCATCGCGCTTTAGTTTTATTTTATTATGGACAGAAAAATATTTTTTGCTGTGTGAAATTCCCGGCCTTGGATAATGTTTATACTGCGCTCAAATGGCTGTCTCCTGATCTCCCCAGCATTTCTGACTTCGGCCTAAAGGAACCTCAGTTTCTCATTCAGTTGAGAAGCAGGTAGCTGTTCGAACATGGGTTCAAAACCTCGGAAACCAAGCCATTCTGGAAGTGAAAAGATTGCCTTGTTCAGGGTACAAATGTGACTGTAAGTGGGAGTAATTTGTTATTATTACTTCGTTGTGTTTAAATGAAATTCCTGTACATCCATTTAGCATAACATATCTCAAATCTTACAAAACGAAATATTTAACTTACGTTAAGATTTTGGTCAATCTCATTATATTATTGCCAAGTTTTGCGATGACACATTGGTCACACTTTACATTGCTATCATGGCAATGGTGTAAGGGAGGTAACTCTCGCTGATGTTGATCGAATCTGCGTAGGAATTTTAGGTATGTGTTTATGTATTCTTTTATGTTTCAATGGCTTACGTCAAAATATTTTAACTCCCCAGGAGGTATTACGCCCAGTAGATTTGGAGAGGTTCCCATCCACGATGTCCTGTACTGCTCTTGCATCAAGGGACCCGAAGTGGTCACTGGACGCTTGAACTTTGGGCTCTTCAGAAACGCTGGCTGTATTTCCTAGTTCAGAGCCGTCTCAGAACGGTCTTCAGCTTCAACAGCTGTTGTGAGTAATAATAATAACAAAATTAGGTGGGTATATGTAAGGCATAACTATTATAGAGTTGCAATAATTGTTTTTTACTCTGTTATAAATTGATTTTGTTTTGTTTTTCCCCTTTGGCCGAGCCCAAGAAAATTACATCAATCATGATTATGATTGTGTAATTAATGGAAAAATTTCATTTACCTTCAAATTCTTGAATTATCTCAGAAAATGTCTCGTTGTCCCATTCACTCAATATTTCATCGAAGTTTTCGATGTGGAAGTCAGGGTAAATTTCCATCTGTTCCTCCATGTTGATGATTTCAAAAACAGTTCCATTAATTAATGGATACATACACGTGATGAGACCCCACGAATTCAGTGATGTTATGCTCATTCGACAACACTTTTTAACCAATCAGATCAGGGAACATTACTACTTTTATGTTACAATTCTCGATAAATATCACTGTGTGTGTAAAAGAGCTCAGGGATGTTAGTTTATCTAATCCATGAAGTGATATTTGTCTTTATTTCGTTGAGTTAGAAGCTCACAAGTGGAACTGCAATGTGGCCAATGAAGATCCGTGGTAGAATAGGTCTTCAGCAACCCATCCGTAAAATGCGACTATGCTTGTCGTGAGAGGCGACTAACGGGATCGGATAGTCACTGACTTGGTTGATGCAAGTCATCGATCCCAATTGCGTGGATCGATGCTTATATTGTCAATCACTGGACTGTCTGGTCCTTTTACTCGATTACTTTCTGACCGTCGTCATACAGCTGGAATATTGCTGAGGGTGGCGTTAAACAACAACAACAAAATTCAAACCAAATGTTTATAATGACGATTCATAATTACAAGGGGCCTGGATTCGATTCTCCACATGCGTAAACTGTATGAAGCCCAACAATGTGATTGAATACTACTTAAAGCGATGTAAAACCCATTTCACTCAATCTCGCAAAATACCAAGTAATATACTAAAATATGTCTTACACTGTTTATAAACATCATTTATATCATAGTTGTTGAAGCTTAAATCCGATTCGTTATGACGTACGCATGCAACAATTCGCGACAAAACTTATTATTTAATTCATGTATGATGCTTAGACATATTTGTGTGAAACGTTTTATTTGGGCAAGGCATCTACTTGAATTATATTCTTTTTGGGGTATTGTTTAAATCAGCGCTTCAGGACATCTGAAAGGAGTTACTGCAGCTGAACTGAGTTTTACTTGTTCGCTGTTTCTGATATCTGAAACGGCAATGTCAATATATCATATGGATACCTTCCAATTCAATAAAGCAAACGGAATGAAGAACTGTTTTCTTGCTCCTATATAGATTTTCGATACATGTGACACGACAAACCTGTGATTGACATCATGCAGTTCACGAAGCTTGACCATCTGATCAATTAGGCGCCTCTTGCAAGAAGCATAGCTTGCAACAAACATGGGTGGCTGGGATATATATTCGTTCCCGGAACAGCCAATTATCGAGTCATAATTGTCAAATTATTACAAAAAACTTTACGATTTGTATGATAACTAATGAGATAAATTAGAATATTTTTGTAACACAAACATTAGGGAAAGAACGTTTCATTAGCACTTGAGTGTATGTTATGAACCGGGTACCATATGCAAATGGCTACTTTCAAATTTCAAAACTGTGTAATACTCGACAGTTACTTCTCTTCAGTGTTGTGCAAAACCTTACACAAAGAGGGTCTCTTCACATTCAGGACACCAGGAGGTCCCCGGAGTTGTCTCCCCTAGTCTGTCACACAAGGAGCAGTTTTTGTTGGTGTCATCAACTGCGAATGAAATCAAGAGCGTATATGTGTCCTTCACATTACATTAGCATGTAATAATATATTAAAATACCTCAAACTATACTACAACAGACGTCTTATTTGCATGTAACATATCATAAGAAATGTGAGGAAAGGGAAGATTAGTCCATTAAACCCATTTCATGATCACCCTAAGCACTTACATGATAGAGATCTATCTTTATATGTCTACAGATTGTTTTATTATAACCTCCACAGTCATAATTATTATTTCCACTAGCTTATTGTGTGAATAAACAAGACGTTGTCGCACCTGCCGTTGTGGTAGCAGATTCCTGTGAGTCAATCAGCCCCTGTATAATGATGCTGGGTTTGATCTGCCCCGCCCACTCCTCCACTGGCCGCCTGGGGTGGGTGACCTTGGTATCTTGTCGACAGAAGGCACAGGGGATCGTCTTGGACTGTACAGCGTCTGGTCTGGTTTGGATGTACCCTTTGACACATTTCCTGCAGAATGTGTGATCACACCTCAGTGTACAGGGGTCTGTGTACAGTTCCTGGCAGATCACACAGGTGAGGAATTCTCTCACTTTCTCAATCTGGGATGTCGCCATCTGGGAAACATGAAATATCCACACATGCCATGTGAATAGTGCTTTCTAGATTTGTGTCACCATATAACTGGAACATGTCTTACAATATGAATAGTTCAAGTTCTTCAAAGGCTCCTACTAGTCTCATAAAGAGATAAGACAAGGACAACGTTCTGTCTTCTGGTGATGTTAATAAGTAGTTGCTGAATTCCAAGCCTGCTAATGTGACCTGCTTAATGTTACTTGAGGCTGTCTCTTATCTCTCCAGTTGTGCATGCCTCATCGTTTTTCTTTTGCTACAGTCCGACTTTGTGTAATGTGTGCTGATAGCCTCATACACATATAATTCTAACATTATGACATCACACAAATAATATTTTGTTTTTAAGGAAATATGACTTCGGAGGTACTTCCCTCACATAACATATACAGGTCTATAGCAATTCAAACAAACAATCAAGTGGGTTTATATATTCCAACCGTATGTATGTTCCATATTTAATTTCACAGTGTTAATAATACTGATGACATGACAACATTTCGTACATGCAACTGTTGTTACTCTCTTTACATTGAGGCTACAGTATGTACAAACTAACAGATAGGTGTGACAGCTATTTCCTGGTTGGATTTGATTATTTCAGTCTATGGAATAGTTCAAGCCTATTACTACATACATTTAGCTGTAGGAAGACAACATATATTACGGACCCAACAACCCACTTTTTAACAAATGTACCACGTTTGTGTAGGGCATCTGACATCCTACATATATATTGAATTTTTCGAATCACCTTCTTTCATGGAATGTTGTTACATTTACTTAAAGTCCTACCATACACCAAAGTTAATATATAATGAGTTGTTTGGGAAACACTAATTTAAGTCCGAAAACAGTGTTGCTTAGCGATAATGCATGAAAACGAAGGGGCGTGGCAATCGAGTTTGAAAGGTGATCGTGGACGGTTTGTTTAGAGAGTATCTCCAGCAGACAATTTTTTTAAATGGCCTACGGGGAAAACGGATTATGCTTGCCTGTTAATTTTGGGTATCAGCAGTTTACCTAATAAGCTATAAATAAGTTTTCGGTGAGTGTCCGGCTACTACCGCTGTCCGGGTACATCATAATTACCATATCTATCATATTTACAGAAACTGAATAAGGAAAAGTATGATTATGCATAATTGTTATCAATATGCATTAACAAAGCAAACAAAAGTATGTACGTGTAGTCACCTTGGTGTCAACTTATTACAATACCGACGTCTACAGAAATTGTTCCTCAGCAGTGTATTTCTACTTTCGGTTTCCTTTTCAGCTGAAGACATGGAGTCTCAACGTGTGGACTGACAACAATCACGAATCAAGACAAACGCAAGTACCCTGTTGAGTACACAAAAGAATACATACCCTCAACCCACAGGTGATGTTTTCAATACTAATTCATCTGTTGACTGATTCTCCGTCTTGACCAGTTTGGGAAAATCGTCCGCGAAACTTCCCCGCATTGACACACTCCGCCCTCAAACAAGCTCCTCACAGCGATAGCCCGTCCGCGGAGCTCTCTAAACCGATATGAAACGAAGGTGTCACGCGCTAGGAAGGACCTTGCTCCCTGATACACCCAAGGGAGGTAACTACGAAGCCACAACTGACACTTGAAGTTGGGCAAACAATTCTGTAAAGATATCCGATCTAGGATCGAGTCACCCAATCTGCCGTATACTTTTCCCTACTGAAACTTAGAACGGCATTTATCACTGTTGTAACGAATATATTTCTTTGTAAATAAGATAACTGTGAACACAAAACGAAGAATTGTACGTTTCATTTATTATTTTTGGATATGTTATTATTGTTATTAGATTTTCTTAACATTTCTCTCAAAAGTTTACTATTCCATTCAAAACCAAATGATTCTCAGTTACAAGCAACGTGTAAAGTTACATAAATATTTTTAACACTGTTTGTTACTCAAAAGTTGTTTGATCAAGTCTAAAACATGCAATGCCTCAGCAAAACTTTTAAAAAAATGTATAAAAGACATGTAAAGGACATTTCCAGATTTGACGCGTTAGTGACAGTGCAGTTTTTCAGGTGAACAATTGACTTTGTATTTTCCATGTGTTTGCGACGGGGGCCATCGGCGGGGCAGGATACGCTGATTCGTTTTTTAACGAACGCCTGATTTCATCACCATTTGATAATGATTTATAAACACATGCTGATGAGGTCGTACATCGTTGAATATGGAATATGCTTATGAATATGGAAAGGGTTTTGTTGCTTTTATTTATATAAGCCAGCTGACAGTAAGAACGCACATCAAGATACATGAACACTCTGAACACTTTAAAGGATATGTTTATTGACACTTCTTTGACGAGCTAGCTAACTCAATACACCTTGAAAATTTGAGTGTGTATTTGTATATGGATATTGTAAAAACAAATTAAAGAAAATAAACTGTGGTGTACGTCGATGAATACGCTCGTGTAGGCTATGTGACAACGCATCTAAATTTAGTGAACTCTGAATTATTTACTCTATGCTTTTGAGACGACCCCCTCTTGTTCAGGATTATCCAAGACACCCGTATGGCTTATTTGGAACATTCGCACGACGCTCAGTAGGGGATTATATATATACAAAAATCAGTTAAGAAATCAGAAATCAGGAAATCAGTTGTTTGGGCAAAAGCAGCAGCTAATCCAGATAACAGAGCATTAGATCTTCCTATCTGTAAATATGAGGCAATTAGAGGTATGCACTCATCAGCTTATTCAAAATTGAATGATAAGATGGTTTGGTCAGTCCTCAGTTGTTGGGCATCTATCTGGGGTCATCGTTACATTTCTTCTATAAATGCCGTTCACCATCGTGCTTTGGGATTTGTCTTTGGGTTGGGTAAATATGTTCCAAATGTTGCCATTAATGGAGATATGGGATGAATTCCAGCGATAGTTAGACAGTGGATGTGTATTGTATGACAGTATTGGCGTTTTACTAAAACGTTCTTTAGATTAAAATAGTGTGTTTATTTGATCTGAACGGTATGCGTATGGACGAGTGCAAAATTGGAATTTTCGTATGAGGGCAAAGCTGAACAAATTGGGTTTGAGTATTTCAGAGATGTAAGCGTGAAAAGTGTAGATGCACGTGTGCAGGATATTTCCTTGGGAAAGTATGTGTCTGATTGGATTGAACTGTTATTCACGCCTGACGGAAGAACGGGTGGAAATATATTACGTACGTATATAATGTTTAAAAATGTGTTTGGTTGTGAAAGTTATGTAAGTATACATATGCCTCGTTCTTAACGCTCTTCCTTTCCAAATTTAGATCAGGCACTGCTCCTCTATAGTTTACAAACAGGCAGATATATGAATATGAATGTGAATGAAAGAGTGTTTTCAGTGTAATAAAAGTATTTAAGATGAACGTCATGTATTGCTGGATTTTCTTTGTACGATGATTTGCGTGAAAGTTAATTCGAAAAGGTCAGTTTTAGCTATCCCAACTTCCTAGAGTTAAGTGAAACTGCATTTTATGCTCCAACGAAGAAAATATATTTTATATGGCTGGTGATCGGTATTATATTTATTATATTAAATTTTGTTTATATTTACCTATTAATGTTGTATGTAATGTGAAATATTGTAAGTCTCTCGCGACCCTTAACGGGCGCCTCACTTCAATTTCAAACAATCTATCTGTCTACAGTGCCATTTACTATTGAACTGTGATGAGCGATTACCACACGGTATTGAATACATTACTGTGCTGTCGACGAACGTGATTTAACGCTGTGTTATTCTTAGACAATGCTAGATAACTTGCAGGTCAATGTTTACTTGGATATACTGATTAGATACCGGTATTTGTAGCGGCGAGACAGGTTAATAAATCAGCTAGCAACAAGGAAGTGTATTACAGAAAAGCTTCCCTGCAAAGCATGTTTGCCAAATGAGCCCACTCCGATATTGACGTGAGTGTATGCAGAATATTGACAGTTCTTGGAAGTGTCTACCGTGACCCAGAAGATGATACAAGATATTAAACGGTCACTGTGTCCTTTTAGTGGGCATGTTCAAGATGGTTTCACACACTCAACGATCAATGTATTGAAAATGGGGGTAGACACTATCCAAGTCATAAAGAAAACACGAACATATACAAGGACAGAATTGCGGCATGGTTGACATGTGTGAAGGCGGATGGTGCATACCATCTTCACACCCCACGTGGCTCTACAGTGATCGTTGAGTGTGTGATTCCAGTAAAGACGCGTTTGAGATCGGTGATAGCATATGACATGGTTTACTTAATGTATGGTCCTACCCCGACTTCTAACGCCAGCTTGAACATGCCCACTAAAGGGACACAGTGCCCGTTCAAATTGGCAGTCCACTTTGTATGTCACAATAATTATATGATGCCTCACCCTAAACGTTAATGAATACACTAATTTCACAATAAAACCCTGAAGTGCCGGGGTAGAATAGGTCTACAGCAACCCAAGCGTGTCATGAAAGGCGACTATATGCTTATAAGAGGCGACTAACAGGATCGGGTGGTCAGGCTCGCTGACTTGGTTGATGCATGTCATCGTATCCCAATTGCGTGAATCGATGCTCATGATGTCAATCACTAGATTGTCTGGTCCACATTCGATTATTTACAGACCGCCGTCATATAGGTGGAATATTGCTGGGTGCGGCGTTAAACAACAAACAAACGAACAAAAAAATGATTCATGACACATACTCCAATTTCTAGGATTGATAATGGTGTCTGGAATGTGAAACCTAGCCTCCCTTTTAACAGTGATGACATATTACCCTTGGATGATGGGATAGGGAAGTGAGTGTGTAATGCTGTCTCACGTCATTGCCAGTAATGTTCCACCTCTCTGACATTTACCGTATTCGACGTAATAAGCGCCCCGCTCTAATAAGCGCCCACGGCGATATTTGCTAATATATTGACTAGTTAACAATCCCAATTAACACCCCTACCGATTGGTCAATGTAACCCAATTAACACCCCTACCGATTGGTCAATGTAACCTATTTATTCGTGTATAATACGCACTTGTGTGTAATATGCACCCTCAGTTATTGGCAATTGAATTCTGGAAAAATATATCCGTCGTATATAAACATTTCAGGCTGTCAGCATCAACCACGAAATTTCACCAAAATAATATTCTAATAAGAGCCCCCTATTTCTCATTTTGAGAGCGCCCTGAGCGCTTATTACGTCGAATACGGTAATTATTATTTCATGTTTGCGCGTGTGTTACTTCTTTCATATAATGGAATAGGATTGTCGTCGAGGGAGTACTGATGTGCGGCGTCAGGCAATGAACAACCACATACTTTTTTATACAAATTGTGGCGGGTGCTACCAGACATGATTACCCTTTTCGCGAACACCTGGTGTCATCACTTGTGTTCAGTGATCCATTCATATATTTTTCACAGCTATCTTGCCCTTTACGCCCCATGGAATCTGTTTCGGCAGATAAACGATACTGGTTATTCTCTGGCGTTTACATTTTAGATTTACTCAGTTAGTGAATGTTGATTAACGCCACAGCCAGCCAATTTCCATCACCATATCTGTGGCCTCTCAACAGTTCCGTCTGTTCAACAAACAACGCTATTGGGTCATGCGCTCAGCCGTGTAACATAGCCCCACTACCCTATCCTAGAGTTACCTGTTATAGCCACGAATGGGGTGATATATATTATGCCACGAAAGTTTTTCGTACAGTGCACCTATTACTGTAACTTCAAAGTTGGTAATGTCGTAACTGGCAACGTGTGTTAGTTTCAGGTTCCAGCTTTTGAGAGCCGACGGGAGAACACGGATCTACTGACGACAGGGAGAAGGAACGAACTCCTGTTGCCTCTTTGGCATGGTGATGGTGTGGAGTGGTACATGTACGAGTATATGTGGTCGACAGAAAACACAACCGGTCGTTATTGACCTCGTGTTTTGACCCGTCGTGTAGAGCCGACGGGAGAACACGGATCTACCGACGAAAGGGAGAAGGAACGAACCCCTGTTGCCGCTTAACTGTACCGTTTGGTATGGTGATGGTTTGGAGTGGTACATGTGTATGTGGTCGACAGAGAATACAACCGGTCGTTATTGATGGATATTTTAATACATTGACCTCGTGTCATGTCCCGTTGTGTTACACTTCTTGCAAGTCTTGTTGCAATAGGACAATGTTGTGCAACAGCTTCTGGCCACGAACAACGTCAATGTTTTGCAATGGCAAGCCCTTTCACCAGACTAGTCACCCAGAGAACATCTTTGAGATCATTTGAGCAGAACCAATAACGCCGTCCCAATCCTCCAATGAACAGAAATTAGATGGGCAAGGACTTAGAGAAGAATGTAGGGCAATTCCCGATGACGACATAAATGTCTAACGAACTATGTGCGAGGCCATACACATCATTGACGCATTGGCTTTCATTTTGTGACATTAATGATCATGTCAGCACACATGTCCTGAATGTAATCCAGGAAATGGTCCATGTTATCCCCAGTGCTATGTGGGATCTGTGATGTTGACAATTGACGGTCAATAGTGTGTTTATCTTCCTCTTAATCATTTTATCATTTCGAAAATCTTGTACTTGACACTTTACCATATCGACCAGGAAGTCCCAACACGCCACAGTGGTGTCGCTTGGTTTAACGATTACTGTCGTAGTTTATCAAGTGAGGTGAGGTGAAATTGTGTTTAACGTCACGTCCAAGATTATTGCACTTACCGTATTCGACGTAATAAGCGCCCCGCTCTCATACGCGCCCACAGCGACATTTGCTGATATATTGGCCGTTCAACAATCCCAATTAGCATCCCTTCCGATTGATCAATGTACACAAGACTTATTCATTCGCGTACAATACGCACACGTGTGTAATGTGCACCCTTAGTTACGGGCTAATAAATTCTGGATTATATATATTATATCTGTCGTACATAAATACTTCAGTCTGTAAAAACAACGAAATTTATCTTTCAACTCTGTTTTTTTCCACCAAAATAATTTTCTAATAAGAGCCCCCTATTTCTAATTTTGAGAGCGCCCTAGGCGCTTATTATGTCGAATACGGTAATTCAGACCAAACCCGTGGCTGGCATTGACATCTGTTGACAAGGTTTTGGAAATAAACGCATTTCCTAATAATGCCGTGTTTGAGAAGAAAAATGTAAAGAGGCTTAAAATAGATTAAATTCTTCGTGTGCAAAATATTTTGTTCAAGTTATAATGTCGTACCTGATAACCTTTGTGTGTGTGCATACATATGACATCACATCACTGTCATAGCATAACCGAGCATTAAGACACATACACAGTGTCACGATAGATCGTTATCATAACATTCACCAAGGCCAGCCCCACGACGTGTATAACGTGATAACTATTTCCAGGGAAATCAATTTCAGATTACTTGAAGTAGACGAGTTGTAAAATGAGATATTCATCCGGCTTACAAATGACGTTGTACTAAACAGGTTTGTAACTGAACCACGTATGACAAGGCGCAACAAAGGTTCACCTGAATCACCAATACTTCCAAAGAAATGATTAAGTTGAGTCGTTGAAACTCAAAACGAGATTTGACATGTCCTTTTTGCATGTTAAGTACAAAGTAACACAGTTTCTTTACAGACTCCTATTCATTCAAACAGTTCATTTGAAGTGAAAGGAACAAAGTTGTCACGATCACGATTCCTCTGTGCATCTTTCAGCAGTCCTTCGCGACTTTTTGCCTTAGTTTCGACGCCCATTTTTTTTAATATAGTCCCTTAACAGTCATGCTCACGGGATCAGCAGGTTGAACTGCTTGACTGTTTATTTCATCCAGTTTTGCTCGCTTTGCGCTTCGAACTTCACGTATCTCCTCATTCCAGTATTTAGGTCTGTGCTTGGTGTATTGTCGCTTGTCTCTTTTGGACTTGGAACTTTCTTCCATGCGTTTGCAGATCTGTAGGGCCTCCACGGTGGGGTCCAACTTGTTAGATTTCCGCTGATGTATTTTCTTGACAACATCATTGTGCTTCTCAAATGCTTGGCAGCTGAATTTTCTCAATGTACCAAATTTTCTTAGCATAAACGGTACGTGGTACACCATGCAATGAACATAAGGGGTTACGTTCTTTTCAGTGTATCCTGATAAGTGAGGGCCAAGTGACAAGAACGTTTCTACCCAAGTTTGTGATAACTTGAAGACTTCATCTGCTCTCATGGGCTCAGAGGCGGTAATGGTGCTGTAGATATCGTCTAACAGCTTCCACAAGCTTAGGACTTTCTCTTCAGTGTTTGATTGAAGCTTCCCTTTTAATGCTTGTGGAAGTTTAGACAGAAGTTTTCTTTTTTCCAGCCCATTCAAGCTTGTCCATTTCAGTTTCTTTGTTTCCTTTTCCTCCCAATAAGAAAATGGCACCCCACAGGATTTGATAGCCTTTACAAGTTCACCCATATGTTTAGGGTTCTCTTTCACTGCTGCACGCTCTTTATCTCGAGTCATTGCATCATTTATCAGGTTCTTCTCCAAGACGTCCGTAATCCGGAGCAGGAGATGCAGCTCATCCAGAATAAAGTCCTCCATCTCTATTTTCAGGAGAGGAGTATGATGGACCCCATACTCGCGTTTTACAGCATGTTCTGTTACTCGTTGCCAGTTCCTCATCATGTTGTCGCTGTTGAAGTAGTCCAATGGGTGTGTCATGTTGTGCCTGTCATCCCTATGCACTAAGCACCAAGGACAGGAATGATTGCAAGAGACTCCCCCAAGCCACACTACTGTGAGGATCATCTTCATGTCAGCACAGAACACAATATTAACTGCTATCTCCTTGTCATCAATATGAACTCGCCCTGCTTCAATGACTGAGTTAATTTCTTCGCATAGAGGCTGTAATGAAGTTTTGAGTTTGAAATAATCTTCTCTGCAGTTTAAGATAGCCAGAGTTATGACGTTATCAGCACTGTGATTATCCGTGTACGTTGCGTCTACCAACCGAAAGGCAAATATTACGTAGTTCGATATGCGACTTACATGGGTTCCATCACTGCTTAATTGAACCATGACTTCCTTCAGATTTGGGTTTTCAAGTATTTTTTCCTTCAACCTTTTATCTAGTTCCTGTCTGAAGCTAACCATCGCTCCATTAACTTCTCCTGGCACTCGACTGATGGCGAGAGTGGCAGTCATTTCTCGACGGGTATTTATCACGGAATGAGTGCGTGGTAGATTTGGATATAACTGTGTAATTTCATGATAGGCAGCCTCGCTTACACAAAACCTGTCCATGACACCGACGAGAGAGCGGAGGCTATCACACGTAGACCCCGACGATTTATCACCTTTATTTTCAAAGTTGATTTGAACCTCTTGTCCACAGGACGAAGTACTGATAATGGCTTTGGGGACCAGTTGATACTGGGTGAGAAAAGACAGACTCTTCTTGGATTGTTGCTTGATAAGTGTCCGTCGTCGATGCTGTTGGCGCTTGTTCAAATCGTCATAATTCTCCTGTTTCTTAGGAATACTTGCATCAGGTTGACACCTAACTATTTCTAAGGATGCAACCTTATCCCAGTCAAAATAAGACAAAGGCTCATTCGGATCAACATTTTTGTTCACCAATTCATTTGTGAACAAGGCCAAAGAGAACGTTTGAGTTTTAAGAGTGTGCTTGTTGCTATCTTTAGTTTCATATCTTTTGCAAACGTCGAAACATTGACAAAGAAGAGTTTGCTCAATTCTTTCACTCTGCTTTAGCCTTGTTCTGTGAGCTGTGTATTGAGCAGGTCGATCATGGAGCAAGTTTCATTTATCTCCTTGCTGATTCGGAGGTTGACCATAAAGGGGTAGGACATTTCGAGGGACACTGTTCCTACCCCTCCTCCATTGTTTTTCTTTTTACTGGGGCGTGGTCCTGAGGCTTGACTTTTTGGAATTATATTTCCTAGATCTGTACTGTTGGACATCTGTAAGGTATAGGAACCTGCGTTTTAATGAGTCAGCGTGTTAAGACAACGTAACTTGCGTGGTGTTTCTGAAGTTAGTACTTGCGTCAGTTCGACTACACGCACTGAATGTTACACTTCCGAATGGCTGTCATAAACTGAAACTGAAACAGAGAAAGTACCATTGAGACTTTAATATAGCGTGAGAGTCATGTGAGGTGAGGTTAAATGGGGTTTAACGTCGCGTCCAAGATTATTGCACTTATATAGCGACGTGCAAGTGTGTGTGTGTGTGGGGGGGGGGGGGGGGGGGGGGGGGGGGGGAGGGGTGCTTGAACGAGTCCGGACTGATGCCGAATATATAGCGTCATCCCACTGAGATACAATGCCGCAGTTTAACACGAATACCCGAATCACATACAGTATACTCCGTGCCGACCAGTTCTTGTTTAGCCCCAGACAAGGTAACAAACAAGTACCAACTTTTAACGTCTTTTGGTACGACGCGGCCGGGGACCGAACCCCAGACCAACCGCTCTCGGGGCGGACGGTCTACCATTAGACCACGGAGGCGGTCGTAAGAGTCTTGTAAATAAGAAAATATTTATGTCGTTTTTTTGGCAAATGGTTTTGTGTATGCGGGTTGTAGAAAAAACAAAGCGCGATGCTCTTTGACATGATGCCATAGTGAGTGAGTGAGTGAGTTGGGTTTAACGCCGCGTTTAACATTATTCCAGTTATATCACGGCGTGTCAGCTTAATGTGGGAGGAAAGCCCACAATCGAACCCACAATCATAGGTTTCTGGCGTGCCCAGGGGACGCAACTCTGCACAACGAATCGCGGCGCATAAAACGACTGGGCCACCAGAAATGACGCCCACAGATGTTTTAAGAAATCAGCTACGCACACACCACAGGATAAATGTAGTCCTGTTTTATTGTATCATAGATCTGTTGTTCCTTCGACCTTAAGTTAGTGGTCATGGATGATCTGCTTGCATAAAACACCACGATGTGGCGACTTGTGACTCTTGTGCAAAGATGCGCTGCCTGCCTTACACAGGCACCCAACCCTGCTTCACAAGCCGACAACCAACACTCTACAGTGAGACCCCTTTAATCCGGACCGTGGCTGGTTACAAAAGTTTGGATTAACGAGTGCGTGAGTTTGGTTAAACACAGCTGTCTGCAGTATTTATCAAAGCATGTCAGATTCATGCAGGTCTCAGACGTTTACCAGTTTGGAGAAACACTTTAGTGTTATGAAACCTAAAGCCTAAAACCTAAAACCGAAATCTTGGCTTCCAACCAGCGACCATAGGTTTCTGGCCCGCTCAGCGAAATGTGGCGCCTCAGACGAGCAGGTCACACGATTTCCCCTCGGATCAACGAACGATTCAAAGGTATAGGGTAATATGGTACAGGCAGCAGATGACCACAACTGTCATTGACAATCATAGTCGTCTAAGGCCCCGCGATTAGCTGTAGAGAGTTGCATCCCTTGGGCACGACAGAAACCTATGATTGTGGGTTCGAATCCCGGTTCGCCCCGAATATGTTTCGAGGTTTATCAGCACCATGTCAGCTCGTAGGTTACACCGAAGTGGTAAACGCCTGAGACCTACATCACTCCTCCCCCATTAAGCTGACACGTCGCGATATAACTGTAATACTGTTAAAAGCGGCGTTAAACTCAACTCACTCACTCACTCACTGACAATCATAGGCCTGGCAAAAATGTATTTTCCTTTGAGTGCATATATAGAGTTACTGGTAACAACATCTCTGGTGATAGTTAAAATAAGGCACACTCACGTTTACAGTTCCTTGGGTCATGAGAACACAGGTGAATTCCAAACAGGTTCCTCGAACGCTGTACTTGAAGTATGACGTTTGTTTCCTTATCAACCTATAAACGTGTGCATAATAATACCATAAAACAGGATCAAACATGTCCATTAACTTTCTATTGCCTTTAAAAATTAATCGGCACAGATATATGTAAAGGTTTCAGTAGCATGGCGCTGCTTAATCAGGAGTAACACACGTAGCGTGAATCTTTTGAAGCCAATGCGCTAGTTACTGTACACCGACCGTACTGCTCAATCAAAGTATTGAAATGTAGGATGCGTTGCATGAATTGAATGATTGGAACTATATCAATGAGGATATAAAATGTCACGTGGTATAACTATGTAATCGCAACAATTTATTGAGTTCCAGGAACATGATTGTTCATTTGTACATTTGGCGTTGAACTTTATCCGTGGACCGTAGGCGGACAAAATTAATTATTCTCGTTTGATAATAGAACGAATATCTATACATATAAATGCGGATTGATAAGATAGAGAGGTTGGAAAGATATATATACAATCAAACACCGTATTCATTCTATATTCCCCATCTTCGGTTGTGTCGCACCTCGGATAACACGTATTTATGTAGGTCCCTTCAACTTACATATATGCATCGACAGACGGGGAGATTGGCATGGGACAATAACCCATTGCAATGAAACTCACTCATTGTCCGACAAATATATGTACATGCACGTGGTCGATATACTGGGTGTATCGGAGGTGACGGTTCACGAGGTCATGTTTGAGGGGCTATGCTCTCCACATACTGGAGGTCGGAGAGATGTCGATGAACGAGGTCATCTTTGAGGGGCCACGCGGTCGACATACTGGAGGTCGGAGAGATGTCGATGAACGAGGTCATCTTTGAGGGGCTAGGCTGTCCACATACTGGAGGTCGGAGAGATGTCGATGAATGAGGTCATCTTTGAGGGGCCACACGGTCGACATTCTGGAGGTATTTGGGTTGGATGTGGAGATCTGGGTGGTGTCAGACCATGAAGTCATCAATGAGGGTCCACGTGGTCGACACACATACTGGAGGTCTGAGAGGTGTAGGTAAACGAGGTCATCTTTATGGAGCCACGTGGTCGACATATTGGAGGTCGGGGAGGTGTTGGTTTACGAGGTCCTTTTTTTTGGGGGGGGGGGGGGGGGCACGTGGTCGACATACTGAGTTCTGAGAGGTGTCAGTTCGCGAGGTCATCTTTGTGGTCGACATATTGGAGGTCGAGGAGGTGTTGGTATACGAGGTCATTTTTGGTCTACGTGTTCGACAGACTGGAGGTCGGGGAGGTGTTGGTTGACGAGGTCATCCTTGTGGGGCCACGCGCTCGTCATATTGGAGGTATTGGAGGTCGCACGGTTTAAGGGGCCTGTGGTTGCCGAACAAGAGTTCATGGAGGTCATGTCGTCGCATCAGGCTGCAACTGAGAATTATGCCACTTTGATACTATCAGTATGTCATTTTTATTAATTAATTAATTATTTTATCAATGGGTGTAATCACAGATACCCATGTGTGGGAGCTGGAATACAAACAAATAACAAACAAAACTAAGATTGTTATTCATTCTACATGACATTGATTCTGATTGGTTGAAAAAGAGGTTTCCTTTTGCTACAGAAACCCCTTTCAAATATACTAATCAACTTCACGCACAAAAAACGTGCGTATTAATACATCGATAGCTGACAAATCGATTCATAAAAAAATGTCTGCCGATCGATCACCCCCATATGAACTGTAAAACTATCTATATTTCCTCTATTACACGCCAGGTTCTTAATGCACGCCAGGTCTCTAATACACGCCGAGTCAAGGGCTCTCGGGAAAATTAATAGACGGCCTCGCGTCTAATAGAGGAAATACGGTTTGATATCGATGTTTTTGGCGTCCTAGCTAGGCCGCAACCCTGACTGCCACGGTGTTACATTACAAGATTTAACGAAGGCATTTCTTTTCCATACAAATAAAATGTTTATGAAACTGTAAGGGGCATTCTATGGTGACCAGAATCGGAACAGTCTATTTCCTCATTGAAACAACCGGTTAGGGAAAAGTTAATCATATTTCCTGGTATTCGTTTGCATTTTCGTTTTACTGATTCGTAGAACTACGTTCAAGTTAATTCTTATACCTAAAATAGACTTTGTTTAATCGGACTCCACTTCCGTGTAATATGTTCACGTGATAGATAGTAATGGACAAGACAGTGTAGGAAGTATATATTTGTGCACAATACACTTTTCAGAACATGAATAGAATATTAAAAAATACTATTAAGTAAACCTGACTAAATTTCTTTTCCTAGTACATTTCTCGGATACAACGTTTTTACATTCCTCCGAGTTATGCCAAGATAACCGAATGGTCGGTTATTAAACACGGTGGCATGGGTGGCCCAGTCGTCTCAGGCGCCGCAATTCGCTGTGCATAGTTGCGTCCCTTGGGCACGCCAGAAACCTATGATTATGGGTTCGAATCCCGGTTCGCCCCGATTATGTTTCTAGGTTTGTCAGCACCATACCCGTGCTCGTGGGTTACACCGAAGTGGTAAACGTCTGAGACCTGCATCACTTCGGGCTTTCCTCTCACATTAAGCTGACACGCCGTGATGTAACTGGAATATTGTTAAAAACGGCGTTAAACCCAACTCACTCACTCACTTATTAAACACACTGCAGTTGTCATCACACTTCGTACACTTTGATACCTGCAATGCAATACGTGCACTGGTACATGCACAATTACATACTGAGACAGTGAGTGAGTGAGTTGTAACAAGTCCCAAGCACGAGAATCCGATGGCACTAAAGTTCAGTAGCGTGTATGGCCATGTGCGTTGACAACTGCCACACAATGCCTCCGCATGGACCTTGTGATGCTTGTGAACACATGATAGGGAAGACGACGCCATTGTTGCTGCAAAATGGTGCCAAGATCTTGCAAATTATGTGGTTGGTTCTGGAGGGTGCGCAGATTTCTGCCAAGAGTATCCCAGACGTGTTCGATGGGATTGAGGTCGGGGGACCTTGACGGCCAGTCTATGACGTTGACTCCCGCATTCTGAAGGAAATTCCTTGTCACAATTGCTGTGTGGGGTCTGGCAATGCCGTGTTGGAAGATCAAACCGGGTCCATGTGCTGCCATAAAAGGCAGAAGTTCTGGTGCCAGTACCTGGTCGCGGTAAACAGCAGCGTTGAGGTTGCCACGGATGACAAAAGCCTGGAACGTGCATTGCCACAGAAAGCACCCAACACCATGACACTTCCGCCTCGAAATCTATCAACTTCCTGTACACAACACTGGGCGTAACGTTCATGACGGCGCCTCCACACCCTCGCCCTACCATCAGCAAATCGAAGATTAATTCGGGATTCATCACTGAAGACGACTTGATTCCAATTCCTCTGAGTCCATCGTAAGTGTCGCTGTGCCCACAATTGAGTCAGAATCGGCCCGCAGTATGGCCGTCGTGCTTGAAGGTGAGCAGTTCTCAGACGGTTTCGAACAGTTTGCGCACTCAGTCTACCCTTAAACAGTTCATTTCTGGTTAATGTAGCCGTCAAAAATCGGTTACGGAGGTGACGTAAGACAATCTGACGACCCTCTGCATGTGACGTCACACGTGGTCGACCTGGCCGAGGGCGATCAGCGGTGGTACCCGTTTGCTGTAGACGCGTCTGTAAATCATAAACAGTCCGTCGACTACAACCCATCGTCCTTGCGACTTCAACTACAGACGTTCCCGACTTTTCTTTTCTTGTGTTTTTCTTTTTTTGTTAATGACTGCTAACAAATATGGCTGAAAACACGTGCGGTATTATGGCCACGTGACCAGTTGCACGTGAAAAAACACTGTTGCCATTATAGTGCTGTGCACATGATTTTGATCGATTCATTTGCACAAAAACAGGTGTTATCTGAAGACAACGCGTGGCCATTACTGTTTAAATACACAATAAGGGCCCACAATGAGAACTGGTAAAAAATGTTAAAATTTTAGGATTGTGAAGTTTTTAATTTCGTTCAGTATATTACTGGTGAAACAAACACAAACCTGCTGACAATACAGTGGATACAACAGGAAAGTCATATATTCCGAGACTGGTCTAGCTATGCAGTGTGCGTGATAAGGGCCAGTCATATTATCTGACTTTGATAGTATCTCTACATTTTGCCTTGGAGTATGATAGTAATGAAATTAGATGGGGATTTTTATCTGATTTTGTTCCCTGTTTCTGATTTCTGAGAAGGGCAATGACAATACGTTATCATGTCGATACCTTCCATTTTAATCAAGCGAACGGAATGAAAACTGCTTTCTTGCTCCTATATAGGTTTGCGATAGAAGTGTAGCACAAGGTTCGTCTTTGTTGTTTAACGCCGCAGAGATAGCACAGCTATGGGCAAGATAACCTTGTGATTGACATCATGCAGTTGACGAAGCTCGACATCTGATCAATTAGTCGCCTCTGGCAACAAGCATGGGTTGCTTGAATCTATGTTCTTATCCGCAATACCCACTTGTCGAGTCATAATAGTCAAATTATTAAAATAAACTTTACGATTTGTATGATAGCTATTGAGATCAAATAAAATGTCTTTGTAACACAAACATAAAATAACGAAAGTTTCATTAGAACTTGAGTGTGGGTTATGGAACGCGCACTGTATGCAAATGTCTACATTCAATTTCATTTTCACGTGACTGGAGTTTTGATTTTCTGTAATACTCGACAGTTACTACTCTTCAATGTTGAACAGGACATTGCATGTTCTTGTAAACTGTACTCGGCATTCTCGACTCGTTCAAAATAAATAAGCATCTTGCAATTGTCCACACTTGATTATATTACTTAGTAAACCTAATCAATAAACCCCGGCTCTTCTTTATTCTGTATGACAAATTGTTTATGATAAGACTGAATACATACTTTACTATGGCGACCAAATATAAAATCCTGAACTGGCACAGACCAGACGCTTTTAAGATCAATACAACTTGTCGTGGACCGGTGATAACTAAAGTTGCATGTTACTCTGTCCAGCATAATAGCGTTTTCAGGTTGATGGGGTACGGGTATGTCTATTTGTGTAACGTTGCACACAGACGTCGGGCTCAGGGAGAGTACGTTTACCCCCATACATTACACGTGACCTCTCGGTGTACTAGTGGTAGCTCAATGTTTGGACTACATACATTTGATGATAATAACAA